TGAAGTTTTGCAAACCACCCCGATCAGCAAAAGATATACCATTGGGAGCAAAAAGAAAACGAGGACGACCATGAAAAGCAAAAAAAGCTTTATTAATACAATAACTGTACAATTAAATTTTTTACTTGGGTATTTATGTCTCTTTACTTAGCAAAAATTATTTATTTACCTATCGATTTCTTATATTTTGCTTAGAAATCAAACTTATTTACTTAGAGTTTAAATAAAAACTTTTAATTAAAATTATTTTCGGTAAATTACTTAACAAAATTGAATTTTTTACTTAGCATTTATTCAAAATTACTTGGCATTTAAATGGGAGCTTTTTTTAAAACTCGAAATCCGAGCGTATGAGAGTGCTTGAAGCATTGGAGACAGCAGTAAAGCTTTTCGTTTTTCCATTTCAGAAAACGAGAATTTTCTGAATTTTGTTCCGCTTTGAATAACGCGGAAGATAACTCCAAAACATAATATTCTGACATAATCTTATGTCCCACGATGCTGTCTTGTTTCTGGATCTTTCCTTGAAGATATAAGCGCTCTGTCTCGTCAGCTCCTTTTTTGCGGAGAGTAAACATAATTATCATTTTGTCCTTAGTGAACGTTGCAGAGTGTGTTTTGTGTTTCTAACGAAGGAACGTCCCCAACTGATAAATCGTTTTTTGATAGAAATCCAGTGGGTTGTAGATTATTGACGATGCTGATTCTGAATATGACCAGGGGGGTTCCCCATAGACCTTCGAAGATTTGGTTTTCTCGAAAACCAGTCTTTCAGAAACTCTAAAAAGTAATCAAAACCTTTCTTAATGAGACATGATTGTAGCCCGCAAATTTCTGATTAAAATGAGACATCGTTAATCCATTGTGAAACATTTTTCTAACATAAAACTGATTGATCAAATCATAATTTTCTTATTCTCTGGTGTATTTTTATTGATATATCTATCTTTCATGGAAATGTTATGAATCATTCCTTATATAATTATTTGATTTGCTCTAATATTAAATAATATTTTATAAAAACAAATACTTATATCTACACTTAAATTTAGCATTATACAAAAAAGATAAAGATAATTATCAAGAAATGGATCAAATCTTACGACAAACTTGTCTATTAAGAACATTCTTAAGAGAGAATAACAAAATCACTTAAAAAAATGGACATATATATAGTACTATACTATCGTTTGAAAGTTGAAATTTTTCTATATATCGAATGAAAATGATAAATTTCTTAGTAGTTTCTTCACTGATAGAAAAACAGTATATTTCCGTCAGACAATCATTCAGAGTCTTTACACACATACGGATATTAGTAGGGTCTTGATTCTGTTTTATTTTTGTAAAAGAGTATACTAAAATGTTCTGAATAAATGAGTTATAACCTGGAGAAATATATAACTATAAAGTTTATTCTTCTTCAGCTTGTTTTATTCCTATATTCATCGCCATGATTCCGGTTGGATACATGACGATCAAAAGATTCTAAAAAGTCCATTTGTAAAGTGACCAGATTCGGTAAAAGATAAAACAAACGACGAAAGATTTCATAATCATAAGTATCAAATAAAGACACAGTACACAATGTAGTAACTGAAGGTAATTATATGTCTGAAATAAAATAGTCACTCATAAAACGGGATGTTGGGAATTTGCAAGGATTTAAAAAACTAGCATCGCAGAACTTATTCATTAAATCGAATCAAGTTCTAACTGAAAAAATTCAAGAAGTCAAGATCTTGATTAGAAGACGTTTCACTCGGGTTACCATTTTACTTAGGAAAATTGTCTGCATCTGCTGCTAAAGTCTTGTTTTCCTCTCGAACTGTTTGCACATTTTGTAATGACACAAAACGCTTTTTTGTATTTAAAGTGCACAGAAAACCCTGCGAAGACCCTTAAAGGTTGTTTAGTAAATTCAAGTTTATTGATATACTTTTAAGGGTTTTTCACGGTTTTTTCGGGGTTTTTTGAACACTTTAAATACAAAAAAGCGTTCAGTGTCGTTTTAAAACCAAAACCCGTTTTTAGTTTTTTATTCTACGATTTGTTTAGAGTGTAAAGTGCTGAAGTAAATGTTCAGTTTTTTGCGATGCTACTAGAAATCTATTGTTTCTGTTGAAGTAAAAGAATTCTACATATAGATGGATGAAGTTTTTGATAACTTGATAACTGATTATTTTTTTGTCACTCTTCCTCTAGTAGTCGATAGATGTGATTATATGGGCGAAATGAGCAGGGAAATGTCATGGAATTTCCAAGCTGTATTTCTCATTCGGAATGTTGAAGGATTAATGTTAATTCTTACAAGCAAGTATAAAGTAAAGCCCGTGTGGAATGCCATTCCGAAAAAACGTTTGATCGCTACGATTGTAATGTGTTCCGTTTTCGCCCAAGTCAATCATTTTCATACCAATCAAGTATCGATTGGTACGATCAGATTCAAAACCGTTTGATTTAACGTTGTATCTTTCTTCATATTTTAGGCTCGTTCGGAGAAGCGCCGAAACATTATAAACCACTGCTTAGTACTCACATGTACGCATATTAAAATGGCCTACTTTCCCTTAGCTTATATATACATGCGTCCGACAATTTGACACGTTTTTTTAACTTTACAGACGTGACGTTTTCAACTGACAGTACGACTGTCATTTATTAAGTTTTAGATCATATACAGTACTTTCGTAACATCTTTAATCCTTTAATTAATGACAAATGGATTTGGTGTACACATGTCCATTGATGAAATATGCACCCAATCATGAAAACACAGCAAAATATATTGAATCAATTTCAATGTTAGATGCAACCCCGGGTACTTTATCGTTTGACAATTTAATATTAGTAGATCGTGGAGGATTTACAGACACAAGATCAATTCAAAAAAAAAGTGGCGTAATTAACAATAATTTACTACAAAACTTAATTCAACAACCACAAAATTTATTACAAAAGGTCAAACTTTCTAAATGCATTTATTTTGTATATTAAAAAGGAAGGATAACGGTGATCGGCTTGTTTGTTTCTTTCATCAGTGTTTAGAATGGAAAGGTCTCAAATCTGATCCGATCTGAAGTTTTGATTTGAATTTCTGTTTATCAAAATTATTGAAGTTTTCAAACTGATCTAATTTCTAGTGTCCAACACGATCGAAATATTAAACTTCTTATGTTTCTATAGCACCGGTTTTCAAAGAGGTCTTTGGAAACTCTCAAATACCAAACCAGTTTGAGCTGAACTATTTTATTTTATTAATAGCAAAAACACCTCAAAACATGTTTAGTTGAAAGTTTCAACAATTTCAAGCCCAATTGTTGGAAGGATAACCAAGGGCGAATCTGTGGATAATTAAAAAAATCAATAACTCGGTAATGAAACGAGCAGGAAAGTTTAAACTCTTTGTTGATATCAGAGACGTATAGAAGAGTTATATAAAAAAAGTTGAGCTCTCAACTCCTTTTATTGGGAGAGTTCTCGATCTTTTAATCTCTGCCTGTTTTCTCAAGAAAAACGCCTATAACTTTTCGAGATTGCGTCACGGGGATGTATCCTTGTAGGTTTTTTACAACCTCGATACCCTACATCGATTAATGTATCAATGAATGAAAACAGAGGTATACATGTCCAAAGGTTCCCTCGTTGGCTGTGACAGGAAGAGCTGTTGATACCTGCATGCTTAGAGGAACACTCAGTGAAGTGTTCTAAATTACGTTTTGTACTGTTCAACGTATGTTGGACAGTGTCAACAGCTCTTTCGACTACCTCTAAGCCAGGTGGTGCTAATAGTTCTTGCTGATACCTTCTGTAGGTACCAATAAATTTTCTTGACATCTCATCCATGGCAAGCCTTGATCCGGCTACTAAATCCTGAAGGCGTCAATAGTCGTTAGTGCCACCAATCGGTGGTATCAATAGCTCTTCTTACCACCGCTTACGGGTGTCAATAGCCATTCCGAATAATGTAGCGAAATTCAACACAACCTGAGACTAAGTTTTCTGCATACATCTCTATTTGCATGGAAGATGCAAACTATCGTCCTATTCAAATAACATCCCAGGTCTTGTTTCTGGGTAAACAAGACATGGTATTACGTTACTCACTCTCATGCTCTCCGTCTCCCCCTATAAATATCCTATAAATATCTCTAGATATTTATAGAGATTAGATGTCTAAATAGCTAGACATCTAAGCAGTCCATAAAATATGAACCTGCACAAACCGTAAACATTTGAGTACCAAATACTAAGGTTTTGCATTTTGCATTTAAAAAGACAAAGAAATGCAGCTCCTATTTTCAAAATGCCAAATACAATTTATAGATTTATAAAAATCTCTAGATATATAAAAATCTCTCAGATATGAAAATACACCGAAATTTTTGGGTTTGTATTCTTCACACGATCTAAGCTGGAAACCTCGTTTTAAAACAACTGCTTTAGCTTACCGTCGCATGTTAGGTGCCATAAAAACAGTTTTTCTGTGTATCAGAGAGATCTTTAGCAACCACAGGTAAAAGGCAAGGTTTTTTATTTCTTTGCACTCTCGATAAGCCACACAGAATAGATGTGAATGTTTTCTTGACAGTAAGTCAGGCTGTTTTTAACTTAAAAAATATCTGTCTGTGTGATAGTTTATACGCAGTCTGAGTGTTCGTATCTATTTTTCAGTAGGCATAGTTTCGAGAGTTTTTTTGGCAGAAAAGGTTTCTTTGATGACCTAAGGACTTGAAAATTGATTTCAATGATCAAAAAGTGTTCAAAAAATTATTTTTAAAATTAAAATATAATTAAATTTCCAAAACATTTACTTTGTTTCAGGAAGCGGTGAAGCCAACATTTCCTTGTTATTTTGCACCACATTTTTAGGCATGTAGCTTATATCTTTAATATTCAACAAAACAAAAGATTATTTATAAACGAAATTAGAAAATAAGGTTTAATGTTTGCTTTCCAGTGAATACTACCACTGTAGTAAATTTACGTAAAATAACACTTTAACAGCTTGGAATAAAAAATCTCTGGATTCGGTTATTGTTCCCATCGACTACGTATAAATATTGCTCAGTTGAATCCAAAGCTAAGCCTGTTGGACCATTTAACTGGTAAGGGCCAGAACCTACTGTTCCATTCCCAGCGAATATCGTAGCGCTGTTAGTACCAAGGGTAAACTTTTTAACAGAATTGCTATCTATTAAAACAACAAAAAGGTGAAGTATGATTAGATTAAAAGTTTAGTACATTATTTATTTTATTTTCAGCTTACTGCTATCAGCTACAAACAGTGTTTGTTCGTTTGCAGTAACTACAACAGCAAGTGGACCATTCAGAGTATCAGAAGCCACAAGTACACCACCGGTACTAGGATTTGCGCCCGGTGACCATCGTAGCACACGATTATTATTATTATCAACTACATAGAGATTTCCTGAACTGCTAGCAACAAAAATACCAGCTGCCCCATTAATTGTAATACCATCGCCTAAAAAATTTAAATACTGTGAAACTGAGTTAGGTGATACCGGAAAACGTTTGGGCTTTTTCCTGATATTCTTTTCATGCGACATTTCTAGAGAAGTTCAATAAAAGTATAATCAAATATGAACAAGTTAGCCTGTACATCACTCATTCTTATGGTTTCTTAGTTGCACGTTCAAGTGAAATATTTTAGAATGCTCTAGACTGTATGACAAGATATTTTATTCTCTTCGAATGTTCAGCTTCGTATACTGCCAATACAGATAATCGAAAGCAGCATATTTCGCAGTTGCACGTCGAAACGCATATTATTCGATTCAGTCTTTTTGCTCTGATTATGAATATGTCTATCTTATATCTGCTTGTTCACGCATCAAAAAACCCATAATAATGGCCCGTTTTCCTGCTTATTAAGGTATTTTCTAATTTTGACCCTATTCTTTCATTTTTAAGGTCATATTTTGGAAAGGGAGTGACTACTTAACGCTGGAGATAATGACTTAAGAAGGAAGAGATGTCTAACTCCGATTTCAATGATCATTTATTTATAAATATTATATAGAGTCCTGGTAAGAACCCTAAAAGGATTTGAGTTCATGTTGCTTCTTTCAAAGGTTATGAATGTTTTTATTTTGTCCATACATCAT